TGTATGTATGTGTGTATGTTTTTTCAGGGAAATCACAAACATACATAAAACATAAAACAATAGCATCATGATCACGTGTGTATCTACCACCTAGGTTCATCAAATGTCAACATTTGGGACAATGCCAGAGTTAATCTGCTATGCACATTTCTGAAAAAGAATATCTGCCTTGTTGAGGACTCACTTTCTTATCCATGCTGCAAAACTTTTCATAGCTCTCCATTCTCTCCTTTCCCCACTATTTCTTTTGGCTTGGAGCTCTACATTCTCTTCCTTCCATCACTGGGTGGGGGGAGGGGGTCAGGGTTTAGCAGCCTTCTAGCCAAAGCTATTCTGAGATTCCTAATTGCATTGGTGGAGTTGGTGCAAAAGTGAGGTAGTAGGAAGTGGGAAACCAGATGGAGAGCAATACTACTGGGAAGTCTGGGCTCTCAGGGTCAGAGACATAGCACACTCAGAATGAATTTTTTTGCTAGAAACAATGTGACTGAAGAAAGCTCAGTGTGTTTTTGTGCCTGGTACATGGTTTCCCTGAGAAAATGTATCAAGGTCTAAGCAACCAATTTATACTTGGATTTTGAGAACATTAGCCTACTTCCAGTTTCGATTAGCTAGTATTATAATTGTTTAGTTAAAAAATATTGCATTCTATATTAAACTTGTTTTCACATGACATGATCATAATTATTCTATGGGCAACTTTTTAAAAGAAAGATAGCATTAACTACCAATAGCATTTTCATTTCCTTCCTTGTATAAATATCTCAATTAAAGTTTTATATTCCAATCTTTGTCCTTGTGACTGCATTATACACATCATTTGGGGATATGAAATTGAGAAATCCACATCTAAGAACCTTTAAGATTTCACCCAAAACACATTTTTTTCATGATAACTTAATCAAAGGACAGCTAATAGTAAATATATTTCCTTTTAGTTCTTTTATCATTTGACTTTATTCTTATAACTCATGTTCATTTTGGGGGTACTTACTTAAAATACTAAATAAAGTCTCAGTTTTATATAAAAGTTGTCCAATTTCTTCCACATATGGATTTTATAGTTTGGCAATGATAGACATGATATATTCACTACTGAAGCACAATATAACCATAAAAAATAAATTTTTAAAAAAGGGATACACAGACAAATTACATAGAGAATTTTAGTTGTATATCTTTAGGTTATATTTGTTGACAAAAAACAATGAATATTTCATTACGTGAATAAACTAGAGTTTTGTCTAAAGCAACAGGAAAAGAGCTAGATGTTGAGTCTTTTGTTAACTAGAACTTCTTAATGGCATGTTCTTCGGGGCATAAAGAATCAAGATATCTCTTGGCACCCTTCAACTATGTCCTGGTTTGCTGCTCCCAAGAATACTCTGGCTGCCATTTTCACCTGGGGAAGTGCCAGGGGAAAGACCAGCTGCTCATATTTAGGCCTTTGTATCTATGACTCCCATATCCAATTCTGGCTCATTTCCCCTATTTTCTGTACACTTGGGGAGTAGGATGTCAAGTATACACACCCTGCTCCAGACTTCTACCAGTCATCATCCTTGGCTCATGCCCATTTTGGTACCATCTGCTTGGGGACACAGAGGATAATAATAAGAGCTTCTACTTATTGAGTGCCTGCTGTGAACTACGTATTTACATCTCTAGTTTCAAATTCTCACTCAATCCTGTATGGATGCTATCAGATCCATTTTTAAACATCTGGAAAGTAAAGCTTAGCAAAGTTAAAAAAAAAAAAACATTTCTAGGGTTATCTGATGCTGGGTTTATATTTGGGCCTTTCCTCCTTGCCATCAGTGGAAGATTTTCTCTTGGAGAAATATGTTAGCATCGTCTTTGATTGACTCTCCACTTTCCATAACAGCCCTCCCTGGAGAGCTGCTCTCCTACACTCATCCCAGACTGGTGTCCTGAATTTCCCACAGTGATTTGGCCCTTACATTGAATTTTCTGGCTTCTTGTCTGTTAGACTCAACTGATATCTTAAAATATCTGATTAATACTTAATACTGTTGGCAGGTTAGAATCATATTTTTAAAAAGAAAGTGTATTTTAATACAACTTTCTGAATCCACTCATTGAGAGAACATATTTTTCCCATGTTAAACAGACAAACTGGACAAAAAAAAATGACCACCTGTTAGTTGCTAATGATGTTCACATGCTTTTTAAAAAAGTAATTCTGGCTTTATCTTCCTACAATCTTGGCGACAAAACTCGTGGGAACATCAAGGGCACAGGAAGCCAAAGGCAGCAAACTGACAATAAAGTTTGTGCTTCGACTACTAATGAGAAAGAGGATACTGTGAATCTCTGATTCCACATAATTATTTAATCTCCAGAGGGTGACAAAAAAAATCAAAAGCAGGTTGTAAGAAATCTAAGTTTGGGTGTTCAAATCTAGGACCAAGATCAGAGGGGCTTCAGACAGGCTATTTCCTACTTGAAAAAATATCTTTAGAATCATCAAGTATAAAATGCACCAATCTCAAACATATAGTCTAATTTGACATTGTATGGGTGAGTAAATAATTATGCCTTTAATGAAAATGAACACATACATATGGACTGAACTTATTTTTTTTAAATCGATGAATACTAACTATTGTATCTTGCAAAAAACATGCTAACCCTAAATAAGGCTTACAATTATACATATCTACCAAGATTCAGAAACCAAGCATTTTCTAAAACCAGGGCTAAGAAGAGAACATTTGATCTTAATTCTTTTTAATAAGTTTTTGGGTCTTGCCTTTAAGTCTACTGATTTCAATGGGTCATTTAAAAAAGTATTTAATGTATTCATTTCTATCCAAGTTGAAAGTTGATAGAGATTTAGCTTACTATATATTTTTTTCACATGGTATCTTGATTAAAAGCACAAGCTCTAAAAGCAGATTGTTTGGGTTTGAAACAAGGCTTGATAACTTGTCTTCATACATAATACCTTAGTTTTCCAAGCCTCCATTTCCTCATCCATAAAAGAGGATGACGTTGAACAGCTAGATGATGAGTTTTTTCATTAACTAAAACTTCTAATCATAGTACCTGTCATAAAGTTAGTGGGAGCATTAAATGAGACTATGTAAGACAAGCACTTAGAACAACTACTAGATAGCAGTGCAAAATAGATTCTAGTTATAACTGGTTTTTAAATTTCAAAGTAAAAGGTAAATGTGGCATCCTTGTACAATTAGGAATATCATAAAACAAATAGAATAAATAATATGTCTTTTCTCCTTAGGCAGGATTGAATTTCAGAGAGAATAACTATCTTTCTCAAAGAAAAATAAATTCTAAAGAAAAATAGCAGGTATTCTATTCATAGAATTCCTGTCCCCCACCCCAGTAGTATCCTAAAACTTGTTTAAAAGAGATTCTGCCCAATACATAATCTGTAAGCCTCAATGTTTCTAAAATACATTTTTGCACACCTTTATTTTCTCCCTAATTTCAGGCTTCAGAAGAATGTCAAGGTCTCTTTCAAATCCCAGATCAACTGATAACTGTAACACATATCCTTTTTCTATTTACTACAAAATATTTTTGTAGTTAATATTAAATATGCACTCACAACTGAATTTTAATTTTAATATCTTACCTTATATCAGATTCCATATGAATTAAAATGGTTTAATAACCAGCAGTTAAAGGAAATGTTCTTTAAATGAAATAACTCTAAATTTTAAAGTCATATAGAAAAAAATCTTTAAATATGGCATTGTTAACTCTCCACAAACCTTCCACATCATGTGTTTTCTAGCCATTAATACTGATCATTTTAAACTCCAACATAACACAACTGGCTAACTAAATATGTATATGGTATTTGTTGAAAATTATGGTATGTATTGGTGGGTATAGCTCAGTGGTAGAGTTTTTGCCTAGTATGTTTGAGGCCCTGGGTTCAATACCCAGTACCAAAAAGAGACAATTATGTGGGTCTTTGAATAATGAATTAATTTCAAAAGGGTACTTATGCTCCAAGTTCTTATATAATTTCTAGATTTGTGGTTCTCAAAATTCAGTTCTGGAAGATATGCTATCATGTATATATCACACACATACATATAGTTGTCTCGAATCATACTTATTCACATGTACATTCTCAACTTACTGAGGCATCCTTAAATTTGAAGTTAGGATGTAACTAAACTGATGTTTTGTCAGAGGGAACTGTCCCAAAATGTGGTGAATCAGAAGATTAAGATAGGAAGGTAGAGGATCCAAGAAAGATGCTATAGTTTTAAGACATTGTTATATGGGTTTTCTATGACTTTAAAAATATCTACTTGTTTTTGCAGAATGTTGAGACTCAAACCAAGTCTTTGAAATAAGGTGACACGCTTTAATAGCCCTTTTATTAAAGAAGCAGTAGGCTTGGAAAAGATCTATAAAAGTACTGAGGTTTACTATGTAAGTGGTATAAGTTCTTTGTAGTCCAAATTCAATTACTTTAGAATAGCAGACCTAGTATGACCTGGGAAAACTACTAATTCACATCCCATATTTTCTATCAACCTCTGGAATGTGCATTTCTAAATTTTTCTGGTGGTCTGAAAATGTGCAAAGTTGCATAGCCTGTTGGCTTAAGTTGGCCCAACTGTGGTGGTCACTCATACCTTTTAATGTATGGAAATCAAATATTCAGCATTCCAAGGTTTGGAGACGCTTGACATTTCCCACTCTCAAAATCAATCACCAATCTGAACTCCATGGCTATTACTCAGAGATTCAGAGGTTTGCTGTAAGCAGAGACCATGACCTTGGAATAATTATTTTCTCAAAAGGCATTACCAACAATGATGTGAGCAAAGTGCCCAGACTGCCCTCCAGTGCATGAATCCCTAGCCAAGAAATGGCTACGAATCTTCCATGAGAAGTATGAGTTTGGCTTAAATTTGATTTTGATGCATTTATATTTCATAAGCACTGCATTTAGACAAAGTTAAAATGAACAAGTCAGAGAAAGTACTCACTTAAAGATTTTCTGTGTTCTGGTTTCTGGTCTTTCACATCACTATCATAATGACTTAGCAATTCAGTACTGGAGGATCTCTGCATTTTGAATAATTCCAGGTTTCTTGATGGACAACTTGGATCCCTTGGCTGGAAACAGTAAGCAATTAGACTCAATAATTTTAATATGAAGAAAGGATTCACTAAAGAGTTTTGTTTCTATTTTGGTGTTAAATTTAAAGGAATGTTTGAAATATGGTAATTATTTTAGGATAGGTTCTCTATGCTAAGCTCTATATTAAAATTTAATAGTAGACTATATATGCACGTGGTGCTTACTAAATGCTGCACATTATTCCAAGCATTCATGCATTAACTCAATTAATCATCACAGGAATCCAATGAGGTAGCCACCATTATTTTTACTTAATAAAAAATTGAGGCCAAAAAAGAGAAAATAATCTGCTCAAGGCCACACAGCTAGTAAGTGATGGAGTCAGTGTTCAAACAGGCAGTTCGGGCCCAGAGTCCACTCTAAAAGACAACAACTTATGTGTTTTTTGTGTGTTTATGGGGATTATATTAATGAAGGGGGTAAGTTATTTTATTTTTAAAGTTTTGATAACATGAAAGACTTTAATCAAATATCAGCAAAATCCCAGAGAATGTATTTTCTTATTGCACAACATACTAAAAGTCTCAGGAATATTTTCCACTCAAGATTTTACAAATATTAATGAGCTAAATTATAATTAGTATGAAATGAGTGGTTTTAAATAACTTGATTCTTTTAAAAACATATTCTGGTATGATTGAAGATAATTTCATGAAGTTCTAGATGTGTAATTTTCATGAGAAGAATAATATAACCTAGTTGGAAGAACAATAAAAATCAGCGCAAAGGATTATTATTTACTGGTATTATAACAGGGAGTATGGCCTTAATAATATTTATTTTCCAGAATAAGTATTAGAAGCTGCATAAACTGGAAATGTAAAAACTCAGTAGTTATTAAGCGCTTGTGTGCTTTTTACAACCTCTAGTAAATGAATGTCCATGTTATTTCAGAAAAAAAAGCACTGCATTTTTGAAAGAGAGAAATTAAATGACATTTAGTCCCACAAATCCTGTCTGCTGAAAATGTTCCTAGTGGACTCTATTTAAACTTAAAAGAACTTAATATCCCTCAGTCCATATGCTCTGTTTAAATGTGAGTGTGTTATATGACTGAGCAATAAGATTTAAATGACTACATTTTAACTAATAAAGGTAACAGCCAAAACAAATACATACCAATCTGTCAATTGCATTTTTGATAGCATGGAACCAATCCAATATGATGAAGTCAATATCTGACTGTAGAAGGAACTCATTTCCTGATACTGTTGTGATCTGAAAAAAAAAATATTGACAGGTGAGAAAACCATGTGAGATAGATATCCTACATTTGAAAAAAAAATCTTCTAAAACAGAGTTTAATATACTGAAATATTTTCTTGTCTTCCAGTAATTGTCTTTCTGGGAACTGGGAGGCTAGGATCATTTTGAAGTACTCTCTATAAACTGTTTTTTTCATGTCATAACAAATACATTATTGTTTTAATAATAGAACGATTAACTCAGAGTAGGCTAAAGCTGAATTGCTCCAACTTCAGGAGAAATAAGGCAGGAAGTCCAGAGCGATACAGAGAGTGCACACTTAAGTTAGAAGTCTCAGAAAAATGTAACCGGGTGTGTCAGAATTCATTCTGCACTTCGGGCTCTTTCCTGTTTGTCTTTTTCAAATCTAATAGTATCTCTATATTTGATTTCCTTTTATGGAGGGCTCTAAAACAGATTATTTACCGAAGAGACTAATGCAGACTTTTCTAAAAGGTCATACGGATGAATACCATTAGGCTGTTTCTATTTTCCTATCATAAAGATCTATAGGAAAGTAATAAAGAGCCAATTTCCCCACAAAAGGAGTATGTTACAATAAGAGTTCATTTACATCTTTGAACCTCTCCTAGAGGGTATTTCTCAAGTGAACATCCTGCGTCCCTTCTCTCAGTGCTGTTAAGTAGTTGGCAGTGCTTCTTAGCATGCAACTATACATTTTTCACTGTAGTGAATCTTTTTTCTCCCCAGAATTGTGACAGAAGGATGTGACCCTATAGAAACAGAGCAATGCTCTTGATTTCACACATAAAGGGCTCCTTTGAGGAGAATTTGATTAGAGTGGGTGTGGACACGCTTTTTGTATGAGGCCATCAATCTGAACTGTGAAGATTTTCCCTTTGTATTATTGACTTTTTTGTTGCAAGAGGAAGATGAACATTTCCCAACTACTGTCACACATCAAGCAAGGCTTCAGAGGTTGAGAGGACTGGCATTTCAGAATACTCAATCAGGAGCAAGTCACCTCTTCTCAGCCTTGCTTGCTCTAAATAGGAGGTGAATGCTGAAATGTGGCACCAGTTCAGAAAATCACAAATTGTGCTTGAGGCCATCTTTAAAACTCTATGATTAAAGTGACAATTATTACCCCAAATGGCTTACTCTGAAGTTTTCTGTGATTCTTATGGCAACATTTAAAGAGAATGTCTTGGCGTTTTTAAGAAATTTTTGATGGCACATGTGCACATATACTCATTTTTCATTTATTTTTCATAAAACATCTATGAAGATGCAACATTACTCTGTACTGCAAAGCATCTCTGCTTGAGTGATGTGAGTTCCCCTATCAAGCCTGGCCCCTTCTACAGTAAAAAGAGCTGTCCAAAGCATATGCAATTATAAGAAGTGAAATATTAGAAAATAATAGGATTTAATTACTCACACTAGAATTTGGCAGATTACTGGGGCCAATCACTCTCTTTAAAAATAAAAATGCATTTAAGATTTGGGATGGCTCAAAATAGTCCTCTGTTTTATGTATACAGTAAAAGACAGCTAAGCTGATGTTTGCCTAATTATCTGAACACCACTACAATATTCCTTACTTAAATAAAGTCCTGAATATTTACTTTTTAAAATGTTGCCTCAGAAGGAGAAATCTAAAAATATAAGGTCATTTCTAAATAACCCAAGAAAGCTAGTAATGTCCTTGACCTCTACCTTTATCCTAAGTTTAAATATTTTGATTATGAATATACTATATGCCATAATTTGTAATTATACACAGAAATGAATTTAGTCCAAACACACTGTACAATCTAATATAAAAATTCTCTGACAGTATAAATAAGCCATTATTAAAATTATAAAAAGGAGCAACATTTTTAAAGTACAAGAAACAAACATAATTAGATTTACTGTATTGTGAGGGTTTATGAGAGAGCCAACATAGTTCAGTTTTTGGCCTAGTAAATTCAAAGTGTGATAAAATATAAGTAGTTCAGCAATGCATTTGCATTTTTGGTGCATACTATGCAATGCAAAGGGAATCTTTTACTGGTAACACAATCAGAAGCAAATGTTATTTTGAAAGTTTCTTTGTCCATGTATATTATTACATTAATCGTACATAATCAGTGATTTATAAATTCATTTTGGGAAGCGAGATGAGGGGACTATACAAATGCAATTCACTCAAATCATACTGCCAGAGAAATCCAGTTCACATCCTTTCCTCTGTCTTCCCACTAATCTTTTGAGTTACTAGGCAGTCTGGAGAAGTCTGCTACTGCTCTCTACAGTTTAAATGCATCCACTTCTTAATTACACTCAGTAATTGACTTTGTTCTGCTCTATTCCAGTCACTCACAGGAAAGTAGTTTCAGAATCTCTGACTGGTAAAGTCCATTTAATTCAGGGCTTTCAATCCACATTTTTACATTACCTCTTTAGGATTTCCGATACATGGTTTGCTGAATCATATTTGCACTTTGAACAATTGAATTTTTAACACTCTTGAGGAAAAAATGTCACTAGTAAGGAATGTGAACTTTGACTGAAACTTATGATTGACAACATATGATGACAACATAAAATGATACAATACTAATAACAGGGATAAAGTATATGATATTAGCCATGCTAATGTACTCTTCCTAAATCATGTTTTGCTTACATGGCAGATGCTGGAGTGAGGCAATGAAGGAAGAACTTACAGAAAACAATGGGTTTAGGTAAGAGCTGCTGGTCTCCATTTTGCTTAGAAGCCTACTTTAGCAAAACTTCTTATGCCATCTCCATTGGATCATATTTTAAGGGATATATCAGGGCATCAGAGCAGCCTTAACAAAGTGTGCTAATGTTGTCAATAATAAATATCTTTGAGTACTTGTCTGGGGAAATTTATGTCAAACTTTTTTTACTCTAAATTGGGACCACTTAATTTATTTTAAATTATCTTTCTCTTTTTTTATTTGTTCTAATTAGTTATACATGACACTATAATGCACTTTGACACGTCATACATAAATAGAGTATGGCTTCTCATTCTTCTGGTTGTACATGATGTAGATTCACACTGGTCATATAGTCATATATGTACACAGGGTAGTGATATCTGATTCATTCAACTATTTTTCTGACCCCCTATCCATTCCCCTCCCTTCACTTCCCTCTGCCAAATCCAAAGTAACTATATTATTCCCTAGCTCCCCAACCCTTATTGTAAATGAGTATCCACATATCAGAGAAAACATTTGGCCTTTAGTTTTGGGGGGATTGGCTTAGTTTGTTTATCATGATATTCTTCAGCTCCATGCATTTAACCGCAAATGCCATAATTTCATTGTTCTGTAAGGCTGAGTAATATTCCATTATATATATATATATATACTGCATTTTCTTTATCATTCATCTGTTGAAGGACACCGAAGTTTTAAACATTGATATGGATGTGTCACTGTAGTATTCTGATTTTAAGTCCTTTGGGTATAAACCAAGGAGTGGGCTAGCTGGGTCAATTGGTGGTTCCATTCCAAGTTCTCTTAGGAATCTCCATACTGCTTTCCATAATGGTTGCACCAATTTGCAGCCCCACTAGCAATGTATGAGTTTATCTTCCCCACCCCACCCCCACATCCTAGCCAACATTTATTGTTGCTGGTATTTTTGATAATTGCCATTCTAACTGAAGTGAGGTGAAATATGAAGAGTAGTTTTGATTTGCATTTCATCTTTTCTAGAGATGTTGAACATTTTTTCACAAATTTATTGATTGATTGTATTTCTTTTGCTTTGAAGTGTCTGTTCAGTTCCTTAGCCCATTTACTGATTGGGTTATTTGCTTTTTGGTTTTAAGTTTTTTTGAGTTCTTTAAATATCCTGGAGATTAATGCTCTATCTGAGGTGCATGTGGTAAAGATTAATACATACCAGGAATTATATAAGTATATCCACTGAAAAACCTACAGAATTTTAGACATGTCTGTTAAAGCTTTTTTTGGTATTAACAACAATAGTTTCTCTTTGGCTTGGAAACTTGGTTTGTGTCCTTGTGGTTCCCCTGAATGGAGACAAGGATATGCAAGCTCCAATATATCAAATAAGAGGTATAGAGGAAAAAAAAAAGATTTAAATTAAATTGATTATTTTTGTGTTAATTGAAAGAATTTTAAAATATTTTTAAGAATAGTGTTTAGATTTATAATCACTGTAATTTTAAGAGTAGTATTTATATTTGTAATATTGCCAATTAAGTATTATTTTGCCAATATGCATTGCAGTGGTAAGATTTTGTGGTCTTAGATTTTTATTTAAATGAGAAGCTATTTTGTAAAATGGCATTTATACTATTAAAATTTTCAAAGATTTATTTTTTAGAATTGGTACAAATCCTTTGTAGAACACCTTTTTCCTGATTATAAGAATAATATAAATTTTTTGTAGAGAATGGAAAAATAAAAATTACAAAGACTCAAATTAAAACTATCCACAGCTTCACAGACTAAACATTGCAATATTTTAATTTAGACAATGCCAGTTTTTTATATATAATAACCAAATGGATATAATGCTCAATGGATTAATTTATGCTATGGATAGATGCCTCATCAGCAAAATATTTGAGTGGTAAATATTGTTGACTTCTTCCTTTCCAGTTGATCTCAAATATACATTATGAGATTACCAAAGATGCAAGAGATGATGAATGACATTGTGCTCCCTTCTCTTTGATATACTACCCTTCCAATTGAAAAATAAATTCCACAGATAATTCTGTGAGAGGATATGTTCATGACTGATCATCCCCCTAATCCCATGATCATCAACAAGGACTAATTCAGCATCCATTAAGTCCAAACACATTGTTAGAAGCTAACAACTCCCAACCTCAACAATTCACAATCTGTTTGAATAAATAAGACATATGCATATAAACATAAATAACAATATAAAATGGCTTAGAGTAAGACTAAGTGTGAGTGGTGCAAACAACTCTCATGTCAAGATTTCAG